TGCTGGTAGCGATGAAACCGGAGTTGAAGGTCCAGTGATTCAGTGATTCCGGCAGAAAAACTGATATGTTCTGGGTCGATAACGCGCTGTGCAGACTGGCCGAATATCCGGTGATTAATGTCCAGTGATTAAATTAATCCGCAGAAAAAAAAATCCAATGTTCTGGGTGAAATACCGCTAACTGTGGCTAATAGCAAGTAGCTAGTTAGCTGGCTAGCTAGTTTCAACTGGAGATTCTAGATAAAAGGTAAGTCAATAATAGAATCCGTTCCACATTGAGGGAGGCGGGTTGCAGGAAAGTATATTTTGTAGAAGGATGAAAAGTCTGATAGGGAAATATGTACGAAAAATACAAAAAAACAGGGTATTTACAGGCTATTTACAGACACACGACAAAAACAGAACTGCACTACTACGCCATCTTGGAACATCAACTATGACAGACAAATTGAGAATTTTTTCTCCAGAAAATCACATTGTAGGATTTTTAATGAATTTATTTGGAAATTATGGTGGAAAATAAGTATTTGGTCACCTACAAACAAGCAAGATTTCTGGCTCTCACAGACCTGTAACTTCTTCTTTAAGAGGCTCCTCTGTCCTCCACTCGTTACCTGTATTAATGGCACCTGTTTGAACTTGTTATCAGTATAAAAGACACCTGTCCACAACCTCAAACAGTCACACTCCAAACTCCACTATGGCCAAGACCAAAGAGCTGTCAAAGGACACCAGAAACAAAATTGTAGACCTGCACCAGGCTGGGAAGACTGAATCTGCAATAGGTAAGCAGCTTGGTTTGAAGAAAGCAACTGTGGGAGCAATTATTAGGAAATGGAAGACATACAAGACCACTGATAATCTCCCTCAATCTGGGGCTCCACGCAAGATCTCACCCCGTGGGGTCAAAATGATCACAAGAACGGTGAGCAAAAATCCCAGAACCACACGGGGGGACTTAGTGAATGACCTGCAGAGAGCTGGGACCAAAGTAACAAAGCCTACCATCAGTAACACACTACGCCGCCAGGGACTCAAATCCTGCAGTGCCAGACGTGTCCCCCTGCTTAAGCCAGTACATGTCCAGGCCTGTCTGAAGTTTGCTAGAGTGCATTTGGATGATCCAGAAGAGGATTGGGAGAATGTCATATGGTCAGATGAAACCAAAATAGAACTTTTTGGTAAAAACTCAACTTGTCATGTTTGGAGGACAAAGAATGCTGAGTTGCATCCAAAGAACACCATACCTACTGTGAAGCATGGGGGTGGAAACATCATTCTTTGGGGCTGTTTTTCTGCAAAGGGACCAGGACGACTGATCCGTGTAAAGGAAAGAATGAATGGGGCCATGTATCGTGAGATTTTGAGTGAAAACCTCCTTCCATCAGCAAGGGCATTGAAGATGAAACGTGGCTGGGTCTTTCAGCATGACAGTGATCCCAAACACACCGCCCGGGCAACGAAGGAGTGGCTTCGTAAGAAGCATTTCAAGGTCCTGGAGTGGCCTAGCCAGTCTCCAGATCTCAACCCCATAGAAAATCTTTGGAGGGAGTTGAAAGTCTGTGTTGCCCAGCGACAGCCCCAAAACATCACTGCTCTAGAGGAGATCTGCATGGAGGAATGGGCCAAAATACCAGATACAGTGTGTGAAAACCTTGTGAAGACTTACAGAAAACGTTTGACCTGTGTCATTGCCAACAAAGGGTATATAACAAAGTATTGAGAAACTTTTGTTATTGACCAAATACTTATTTTCCACCATAATTTGAAAATAAATTCATTAAAAATCCTACAATGTGATTTTCTGGATTTCTTTTCTTCTCATTTTGTCTGTCATAGTTGACGTGTACCTATGATGAAAATTACAGGCCTCTCATCTTTTTAAGTGGGAGAACTTGCACAATTGGTGGCTGACTAAATAATTTTTTCCCCCACTGTACTTAGAGTAAAAGATTCATTGCTAATGCTTAGCAAACTAATCAGCTAATTTAAATGGAATGGACTGCCAATTAACTTAATTGTAGGGCTGTGACAATACCAGTATCGCAATATTTTTTTCCATGCCAAAAATGGAAACACGAAGCAGGCCAGAAATCTTTGCTCCTTTAAAAACCTGCTGTATGTAAAATATTGTGTGCTATAGCTTGGGAAATAAATAAATGTGACTCTGGATGACATAATATTTGTTTAAAACATTAGGGATGTTTTCCTAAAGTTAAATCCGCTTCGTATTTTGTTTTCTTGCCACGATACTATCAAGTACTGCGATACTTGTGTCATCCCGGCCCAACTTAATCCCGCAAATTAGAATTTATCTTTGCATATTACTGTATACTCTAAGAACTCTGAATCAATGGGCAATCATCAAGTTTGCCTGACGACACAACCGTTGTAGGCCTCATCACCAACAACGACGAGACTGCCTACAAGGTGGAGGTGAGGGCCCTGGCGGAGTGGTGCCAGGAAAATAACCTCAACGTCAACAAAACAAAGGAGCTGATCGTGGACTTCAGGAGACAGCAGAGAGGGCGTGCCCCCATCCACATCTACGGGGCCGCAGTAGAGAGGGTGAAAAGCTTTAAGTTCCTCAGCGTGCACATCACTGATAACCTGAAATGGTCCATCCATACAGACAGTGTGGTGAAGAAGGCGCAACAGCACCTCTTCAACCTCAGGACACCCTCACGAACGTCTACAGATGCACCATTGAGAGTATCCTATATGCTCGATCTGATATTTCTTTATTTTATTTTATTTGTGTGTTTTGTATTGTTAGGTATACTGCACTGTTGGAGCTAGAAACATAATCATTTCGCTGCACCTGCGATAACATCTGCAAATGTGTACGCAACCAATAACATTTGATTTTAATTTAGCAGCGTATCTAGCATAGACGTTATTTACATTTCAATGTTGATGAATTGCCCTCAGCATGGAGCCATCCCACAAGGTACAAGCCTATTGAATCAACATTGTTTCCACGTCATTTCAACAACAAAAAAAGCAATGTGATGATGCTGAATGAATGTGGAAAACTGATTTTAGATTTGCAAAAAGTCGTCAACAAAAGGGTTTTGGGGAATTTGTCTTTTTTTCACCCAACTTTAAACCTAAATCAAATGTTTCAAATGGTTGTTGATTTCACATTTGAAATCATGTTAGTTGTCAACTCAATCTATGTAAATCAAAACTAGACATTGAACTGATGTCTTTGCCCAGTGGGATTAAAGTTTGTGATCAGAATTAATTTGATTAATTAGATTTGTGTGGTCCTTCATTAACTATTTACATAAAATATTCATTCATCTATGAACATTAAATTAACATGAAACCTGAAAGTATTCAGACCCCTTGACTTTTAACACATTTTGTTACGTTACAGCCTTATTCTAAAAAAAATTCCCTCATCAATCTGTACACAATACCCTATAATGACAAAGCAAAAACAGGTTTTTAAAAATGAAATATCACATTTACATAAGTATTCAGACCCTTTACTCAGTACTTTGTTGAAGCACCTTTGGCAGTGATTACAGCATCGAGTCTTCTTGGGTATGATGCACAAGCTTGGCACACCTGTTTTTGGGGAGTTTCTCCCATTCTTCTCTGCAGATCCACTCAAGCTCTGTCCGGTTGGATGGGGAGCGTCGCTGCACAGCTATTTTCAGGTCTCTCCAGAGATGTTCGATCAGGTTCAAGTCCGGGCTCTGGCTGGGCCACTCAAGGACATTCAGAGACTTGTCCCGAAGCCATTCCTGTGTTGTCTTGGCTGTGTGCTTAGGGTTGTTGTACTGTTGGAAGGTGAACCTTCGCCCCAGTCTGAGCGCTCTGGAGCAGGTTTTCATCAAGGATCTCTCTGTGCTTTTCTCCATTCATCTTTACCTCGATCCTGACTAGTCTCCCAGTCCCTGCCACTGAAAAACATCCCCACAGCATGATGCTGCCACCACCATACTTCACCATAGGGAAGGTGCCAGGTTTCCTCCAGATGTGACACTTGGTATTCAGGCCAAAGAGTTCAATCTTGGTTTCATCAGACCAGAGAATCTTGTTTCTAATGGTCTGAGAGTCCGTTAGGTGTCTTTTGGCAATCTCCAAGTGTGCTGTCGTGCCTTTTACTGAGGAGTGGCTTCCATCTGGCCACTCTACCATAATGGCCTGATTGGTGGAGTGCTGCAGAGATGGTTGTCCTCCTGGAAGGTTCTCCCATCTCCATAGAGGAACTCTGGAGATCTGTCAGCGTGACCATCAGTTCTTGGTCACTTCCCTGACCATGGCCCTTCTCCCCCGATTGCTCAGTTTGGCCGGGCGGCCAGCTCTAGTAAGAGACTTGGTGGTTCCAAACTTCTTCCATTTTAAGAATGATTGAGGCCACTGTGTTCTTGGGGACCTTCAATGCTGCAGACATGTTTTGGTACCCTTCCCCAGATCTGTGCCTCGACACAATCCTGTCTCGAAGCTCTACGGACAATTCCTTCGACCTCATGGCTTGGTTTTTGCTCTGACATGCATTGTCAACTCTGGGACCTTATATAGACAGGTGTGTGCCTTTCCAAATCATGTCCAATCAATTGAATTTACCACAGGTGGACTCCAAGTTGTAGAAATATCTGAAGGATGATCAATGGAAACAGGATGCACCTGAGCTCAATTTTGAATCTCTTAGCAAAGGGTCTGAATACTTATGTAAATAAGGTATTTCTGTATTTTATTTTTAATACATTTGCAAAAATGTCTAAACCTGTTTTCGCTTTGTCATTATGGGTTATTGTTTGTAGATTGAGATTATAATTGTTTTAATCCATTTTAGAATAAGGCTGTAACGTAACAAAATTTGAAAAAAGCCAAGGGGTCTGAATACTTTCCGAATGCACTGTAGATAAAGCCCTAGTAACTAAGTTTTCTGATTTGACGTTGCATTTTATAAGTAACCACTCAGTATAGGTAACCACTCAGTATATGTAACCACTCTTGGCCCATATACTTAATTCTCATCTCCATATCTGTCTCTATTTCCGGTAGCTGATTGGGGGGTTCATCCTAGCCATCGGTATCTATGCGGAGGTGGAGCGGCAGCGCTACAAAACCCTGGAGGGGGTGTTTCTGGCCCCCTCCATCATCCTGATCGTCCTGGGGGTGGTGATGTTCATCGTCTCCTTCATCGGCGTGTTGGCCTCCCTCAGGGACAACCTGACTCTCCTCAAAGTGGTGAGTACTAGGCCCACACAATTTAATACAACACTGTGATATAGGCTTGAGGTTCACCACTCACCAGACCTGGGTCAAATATATACACTACCAGTCAAAAGTTTGGACACACCTACTCATTCAAGGGTTTTTCTTTAATTAATCTATTTTTTACATTGTAGAATAATAGTGAAGACTTCAAAACTATGAAATAACACATATGTAATCATGTAGTAACCAAAAGTGTTAAACAAATCAGAATATATTTGAGATTCATCAAATTGCCACCCTTTGCCTTGATGACAGCTTTGCACACTCTTGGCATTCTCTCAACCAGCTTCATGAAGTAGTCACCTGGAATGCACTTCAATTAACAGGTGTGCCTTGTTAAAAGTTAATTTGTGGAATTTCTTCCATATTATGTCAAGAACAGCTCAAATAAGCAAAGAGAAACAACAGTCCATCATTACTTTAAGATATGAAGGTCAGTCAATATGGAAAATGTCAAGAACTTTGAAAGTTTCTTCAAGTGCAGTCGCAAACACCATCAAGCGCTATGAAACTGGCTCTCATGAGGACCGCCACAGGAATGGAAGACCCAGAGTTACCTCTGCTGCAGAGGATATGTTCATTAGTTACCAGTCTCAGAAATTGTCACATGCGCCGAATACAACAGGTGTAGACCTTACAGTGAAATGCTTACTTACAAGCCCTTATGAAAAATGTATGCACTCACTAACTGTAAGTCGCTCTGGATAAGAGCGTCTGCTAAATTACTTTAAAATATATATATATTTAACCAACAATGCAGTTTTAAGAAAGAATACCAAAAATAATCACAAAAACATACAATATAAAATAATACGAAATGAAAGTAACAAATAATTAAAGAGCAGCAGTAAAAATAACAATAGCGAGGCTATATACAGGGGGTACCGGTACAGAGTCGATGTGCGGGGGCACCGGTTAGTCGAGGTAATATGTACATGTAGGTAGAGTTATTAAAGTGACTATGCATAGATAATAAACAGAGAGTAGCAGCAGTGTAAAAGAGGGGGGTGGGGCAATGCAAATAGTCTGGGTAGCCATTTGATTAGATGTTCAGGAGTCTTATGGCTTGGGGGTAGAAGCTGTTTAGAAGCCTCTTGGACCTAGACTTGGCACTCCGGTACCGCTTGCCGTGCGGTAGCAGAAAGAACAGTCTATGACTAGGGTGGCTGGAGTATTTGACAATGTGTAGGGCCTTCCTCTGACACTGTCTGGTATAGAGGTCCTGGATGGCAGGAAGCTTGGCCCCAGTGATGTACTGGGCCGTACGCACTACCCTCTGTAGTGCCTTGCGGTCGGAGGCCGAGCAGTTGCCTTACCAGGCAGTGATGCAACCAGTCAGGATGCTCTAGATGGTGCAGCTGTAGAACCTTTTTGAGGATTCATGCCAAATCTTTTCAGTCTCCTGAGGGGGAATAGGTTTTGTCGTGCCCTCTTCATGACTGTCTTGGTGTGCTTGGACCATGTTAGTTTGTTGGTGATGTGGACACCAAGGGACTTGAAGCTCTAAACCTGCTCCACTACAGCCCTGTCGATGAGAATGGGGGCGTGCTCGGTCCTTTTTTCTGTAGTCCACAATCATCTCCTTTGTCTTGATCACGTTGAGGGAGAGGGTGTTGTCCTGGCGCCACATGGCCAGGTCTCTGACCTTCTCCCTATAGGCTGTCTTCAGGTCTTCAGTGCTAGTTGCATGAGACAATGTAGCTTTCATGTCAGTATGCAAAGTATAAGCCATAAATGTTACCTATATAATAATATAATAATAATATGCCATTTAGCAGACGCTTTTATCCAAAGCGACTTACAGTCATGCGTGCATAAATTTTTTGTGTGTGTATGGGTGGTCCCGGGGATCGAACCCACTACCTTGGCGTTACAAGCGCCGTGCTCTACCAGCTGAGCTACAGAGGACCATTACCTGAAATATTTAGCATAGCATCACAGTTGGCTGGGTTTCAGGTTGATTTCTCTGCAAGGTCAAACAGGGTAATTAAGACACAACTACTAATGAAAGTCCACTAGCTACGTAATTATCATTGATTTATTAATTTGGCACAGTTTAGCCACCCGCATTGACAACATTTGAAATATGTAAGCATACTGTAGCAGGCCCTCATACATTTTAGATATGACACATTGCTCTTATGAATTAATGACCTGAACATTTTGAGATGTTTGCATCTACTTTTCAAATCAAATCAAATCAAATCAAATTTTATTGGTCACATGCGCCGAATACAACAGGTGCAGACATTACAGTGAAATGCTTACTAACAGTGCATTTATTTTAAACAAAACAAAAAAAAAGTAAGAATAAAACAACAACAAAAAAGTGTTGAGAAAAAAAGAGCAGAAGTAAAATAAAGTGACAGTAGGGAGGCTATATATACAGTAAAATAAAGTGACAGTAGGGAGGCTATATATACAGGGGGGTACCGTTGCATAGTCAATGTGCGGGGGCACCGGCTAGTTGAGGTAGTTGAGGTAATATGTACATGTGGGTAGAGTTAAAGTGACTATGCATAAATACTTAACAGAGTAGCAGCAGCGTAAAAAGGATGGGGTGGGGGGGCAGTGCAAATATTCCGGGTAGCCATGATTAGCTGTTCAGGAGTCTTATGGCTTGGGGGTAGAAGCTGTTGAGAAGTCTTTTGGACCTAGACTTGGCACTCCGGTACCGCTTGCCGTGCGGTAGCAGAGAGAACAGTCTATGACTAGGGTGGCTGGAGTCTTTGACAATTTTGAGGGCCTTCCTCTGACACCGCCTGGTATAGAGGTCCTGGATGGCAGGGAGCTTTGCCCCAGTGATGTACTGGGCCGTACGCACTACCCTCTGTAGTGCCTTGCGGTCAGAGGCCAAGCAGTTGCCATACCAGGCGGTGATGCAACCAGTCAGGATGCTCTCGATGGTGCAGCTGTAGAATTTTTTGAGGATCTGAGGACCCATGCCAAATCTTTTTAGTCTCATTTTACATTTACATTTTAGTCATTTAGCAGACGCTCTTATCCAGAGCGACTAACAGTTAGTGAATAGATCTTTTTTTTTATACTGGCCCCCCGTGGGAATCAAACCCACAACCCTGGCGTTGCAAACGCCATGCTCTATCAACTGAGCTACATCCCTGCCGGCCATTCCCTCCCCTACCCTGGACGACGCTGGGCCAATTGTGCGCCGCCCATGAGTCTCCCGGTCGCGGCCGGCTGCGACAGAGCCTGGATTCGAACCAGGATCTCTAGTGGCACAGTTAACACTGCGATGCAGTTCCTTAGACCACTGCGCCACTCAGGAGTCTCCTGAGGGGGAATAGGCTTTGTCGTGCCCTCTTCACGACTGTCTTGGTGTGTTTGGACCATGATAGTTCGTTGGTGATGTGGACACCAAGGAACTTGAAGCTCTCAACCTGTTCCACTACAGCCCCGTCGATGAGAATGGGGGCGTGCTCAGTCCTCTTTTTTTTCCTGTAGTCCACAATCATCTCCTTTGTCTTGGTCACGTTGAGGGAGAGGTTGTTGTCCTGGCACCACACGGCCAGATCTCTAACCTCCTCCCTATAGGCTGTCTCATTGTTGTCGGTGATCAGGCCTACCACTGTTGTGTCGTCGGCAAACTTAATGATGGTGTTGGAGTCGTGCCTAATGAGACACCAGTGCTTGTATTGGCTCGAGTTTGACTCCCTTCTGAACAAATTAGAGTTTTTTGTCTTCTAAAAGCGAGGTATTTTTTTTGCCTAAATAAATTCTACAATTGTATTTAACTGGGGAATACGTTTTTTTAATGCTACAGTGCAGAATATTCTAAGATATTTGGCATACAATTGGCAACATCTTAGAACAGTGCCTCTTCAATTTCATCATGCATTGATCAATACATTTGTTTTTCGTGTATGAGGCCACCACAAGTGTCCCCTATTGAATATCAACATAATTTTGAGCCTTAGCTGAGCTGCTATAAAAATGGCAAAGAGCAGCATCATTTAAGATGCTACAGCAAAAAGGTGGTTTTGTGGTTCACAATATATGATCAAAGGAAAGCTAAACAGACAGGTCCATTAAACTGTTTTTATAAAGTTAAATATTCTGTTAACCTTGTAAATGTGATTTGTTTTTCAGTTTCTCTACACCCTAACAGTCTGTCTCATTCTGGAGCTTCTCGGTGGCATCATGGCTCTGTTCTTCAGGCATCAGGTACCATAAACCCATTCCTTATCCGTTATTAAACTCATGATCATTGGCTTTCTCTCAATCTTTATATACACAAAAGGAACTCATGCCGCCTCTTATTGGATACATTTACCTGGGCTTGTGCAAGTAGAAAGCTAACAAGTTTAAGAAACGGTGTACTTTACAATTAGTTGACATAGTGGGACTAACTCAATTGTGTTGATATCAGGCAAGGATATTAACTGCTCAGTTCACCATTCTCAGGGTATTTCAGATTGACCCTTGTGGTTTCCATATAGGAATTTTCAAATGTCTTGAATTGTTTATGACATTCCATTCCCATTATGTTTAGGAATTTGTGAAAAGATTTCTGGCTGGATAAAATTAACTAACTTGCAAAGAGGGAAAGACGTCAGAGGACTGTCTGTACCAAACTTTAAATTGTATTTCCAGGCACTAGCATTTCGTCCCATCCTAAATTGGTTTAGACATGATTATTCCGCCCCCTGGCTGAGTGCATTCGGAACGTGTTCAGACCCCTTCCCTTTTTCCACATTTGTTACGTTACAGCCTTATTCTAAAATGAATTATATAAAACAATTTCCCTCATCAATCTACACACAATACCCCATAATGACAAAGCGAGAACAGGTTTTTAGACATAAAGAAAAAACGGAAATACTTTATTTACATAAGTATTCAGACCCTTTGCTATAATCATCCTTGATGTTTCTACAACTTGATTGGAGTCCACCTGTGGTAAATTCAATTGATTGGACATGATGGAAAGGCACACACCTATCTATGTAAAGTCCCACAGTTGACAGTGCATGTCAGAGCAAAAACCAAGCCATGAGGTCAAAGGAATTGTCCGTAGCGCTCCGAGACAGGATTGTGTCGAGGCACAGATCTGGGGAAGGGTGCCAAAAAATGTCTGCAGCATTGAAGGTCCCCAAGAACACAGTGGCCTCCATCATTCTTAAATGGAAGAAGTTTGGAACCACGAAGACTCTTCCTAGGGCTGGCCGCCCGGCCAAACTGAGCAATTGGGGGAGAAGGGCCATGGTCAGGGAAGTGACCAAGAACTGATGGTCACTCTGACAGAGCTCCAGAGTTTCTCTATGGAGATGGGAGAACCTTCCAGAAGAACAACCATCTCTGCAGCACTCTACCAATCAGGCCTTTATGGTAGACTGGCCAGACGGAAGCCACTCCTCAGTAAAAGGCACATGACAGCCCGCTTGGAGTTTGCCAAAAGGCAACTAAAGGACTCTCAGACCATGAGAAACAAGATTCTCTGGTCTGATAAAACCAATATTGAACTCTTTGGCCTGAATGCCAAGTGTCACATCTGGAGGAAACCTGGCACCAGGAGTGGCTTCGGGACAAGTCTCTGAATGTCCTTGTGTGGCCCAGCTAGTGCCCGGACTTGACCTGAAAATAGCTGTACAGCGACACTCCCCATCCAACCTGACAGTACTTGAGAGGATCTGCAGAGAAGAATGGGAGAAACTCTCCAAATACAGGTGTGCCAAGCATGAAGCATCATACCCAAGAAGACTTGAGGCTGTAAAAGTCAAGGGGTCTGAATACTTTCCGAATGCACTATATATAAAAAATTAAAAATAAAGTTTAAAAAAATATTGTGGTTATCCCACTGGCTATAAGGTGAATGCACCAATTTGTAAGTCGCTCTGGATAAGAGCGTCAGCTAAATGACGTAAATGTAAAATATACATACAAATACAGTGCATTTGGAAAGTATTCAGACCATTGACTTTTTCCACATTTTGTTACGTTACAGCCTTATTCAAAAATGGATTAAGGTGTTTTTTTCTCATCAATCTACACACAATACCACATAATGACATAGCAAAATCAAGTTTTTAGTCATTTTTGCAAATCTATTACAAATAAAAAAACTGAAATATCACATTTACGTAAGTATTCAGACCCTTTACTCAGTACTTTGTTGTAGCACCTTTTGGCAAACTTTTTCTTGCCCAGGGACCCCCTCCCAGGCAAAGAAAAATGCCATTATCAAATTGTAACAGTAACTAATCCTCCAAAGGTCCAATACAGATAGGATCATGTTCAGACTTGAGACATACTATATCAAAAAGAGGTTACATGGTAATTTGTCTCTTTGAGGAATTGCTTATGCCAGGATTTTGGAAAATAAAAGCAGTTTTTATTGACAGGAGCAATATAGGAAGAGGTTAAGTGTTGGTGCATTGGGTTCCCCATTAAATGTATTAAATTGTTTTGTACTCGATTGTTATAAAGCTTGCCTACACACTGTCTCAATCCTACACTCTTAATATATTTCACTCTCTATTTTTCTTTTCCACCATAGACTGTGGACCTCTTAAACAAAAACATTCGCAAAGGAATAGTGAATTATTACGATGATCTGGATTTCAAAAACATCATGGACTTTGTTCAAAGAAAGGTACGATTTCTGTTTGAAAAATGGATTTTCCTTTAAACTGTTTGCCAGGTTTTGCCTCTGCGATTCTTTGTTTTTCATTGCTGTTGACCAAATGTCATTTGGGATTATGTCACAAAGGGAAAGAGTGGTTTGTTGTAATTAGAAGGTTCCTACTGGATGGGGGAGAGATGGATGCTGTCAATGCAGCATTTGTAGTTCTCATTCTCACATCTAACCTTGATGAAATTTGTTACCGAGAACTAATTGTTTCCAGCGATCCTGCTTTTCAATGAATTGTTACACAGGAGGACTGCTGATGATGGAAAAGTAGCCCGAGTACAGTGCTGTGAAAAAGTATTTGCCCCTTATCTAATTTTCTCTACTTTTGCATATTTTTGATTGCTAAATATTATCAGATCTTCAACCAAAACCTAATATTAGACAATTACATACTTATTTAATTTATTTCATAAACAAAGTTATGCAACACCCAATGCCCCTGTGTGAAAAAGTAATTGCCCCCTTACACTCAATAACTGGTTGTGCCACCTTTAGCTGCATTGACTCCAACCAAACGCTTCCTGTAGTTGTTGATCAGTCTCACGTCGCTGTGGAGGAATTTAGGCCCTCTCTTCCATGCAGAACTGCTATAACTCAGCGACATTTGTGGAGGTTTTTAAGCATGAACTGCTTGTTTCAAGTCCTGCCCAACATCTCAATTGGGATTAGGTCTGGACTTTGACTAGGCCATTCCAAAACTTCAAATGTGTTGCTTTTTAGCCATGGGCATGTAGACTTGATTGTGTGTTTTGGTCATTGTCTTGCTGCATGACCCAGCTGCGCTTCAGCTTCAGCTTAGACGAATGGCCTGACATTCTCCTGTAGAATTCTCTGATACAGAGCAGAATTCATGGTTCCTTCTATTAAGGCAAGTCGTCCAGGTCCTGAGCCAGCAAAGCATCCCCAAACCGTCACACTACCACCACCATGCTTGATTGTTGGTATGAGGTTCTTACTGTAGAATGCAGTGTTTGGTTTTCGCCAGGCATAATGGGACCCATGTCATCCAAAAAGTTATACTTTTGACTCATCTGTCCATATAACATTCTTCCAAGAGTCTTGATGATCATCAAGGTGCTTCCAGGTGCTTTTTGGCAAATTTGAGTCAACTTTTTTGGATGAGCTGGGTATCGCCACAGCGATGTGAGAGACTGATCAACAACTACAGGAAGCAGTTGGTTGCAGTCATTGCAGCTAAAGGTGGTACAACCAGTTATTGAGTGTAAGGGGGCAATTACTTTTTCACACAGGGGAATTGGGTGTTGCATAACTTTGTTAATTCAATAAATACATATATTTTGTTGTTATTTGTAAACTCCGGTTCCCTTTACCTAATATTAGGTTTTGGTTGAAGATCTTACAACATTCAGTATCAAAAATATGCAAGAACAGAGAAAATCAGAAAGGTGGCACATACTTTTTCACGACACTGTATATGTCAAACACTGTATATTGTGCTTTATTTATAGCATTATACTCACCACAAGCAACACAAAGCTGTTTGTAGAATGGAAAATGTTGAAAGAAATAACTACTTGTAAATTGGGACTCTGAATGTTGGAGGACAGCTTTGTCTGTCTCCCAAAAAAAGAACGTACCGTCTCGATTCTCTCCAACTGTGATGTGTTTTGACACATCCTGAAGCACATCGAACAGGAGCTTTGAAAATACCCACTGAGGAAGGTAGTTGTGTTAGTTTGGACTTGTTGATAGAAGGAAGTAGATAAATACAACTCCATCAAGTGCTGCTGTCCCCTTTTTTTTTTATAGCTTTGAAAACCCTTCCAGATCAATAGAAATGAAAACTGTTTCTAAACTTACTAGTGAATTCGATTTTGTGTGTAACCACAACTGTGTGCTAGCTCTTAACTAGCATTATATATTAGACCTAGCCTAAGGGACTTTGACAGGGTTTTCTTAGATTATTTTTCTTAAGTGCTGCTTTATGGTCAGATGTTAAACTGCATCAGATTATACCATATTTTTAAAAGGAAGTAGTTCTGTTTGCTTTTAACTCTGTGGCGTTTCGCCAGCCAAGTTGGAGACTGGCTCTCGAAGTGAGCACTCAGCTGGAAGTAGGTTCTATGAGGGGGAACGGTATGTATTGTGCACAATAGGATTTCTTTCATTATGGTTTTAGTGGCGTCAGAGGCACAGCTTTTTAGGGATACATTACATTCTGCCACTGGATTGAGACATCTGTAATTGTGTTCATATAAAAACGTTCACTTCATGCATGGATTTTCAGCCACATGCAAAACATTTGCGAATGTTCAATGCCGGTCTTTACGCTTTTAAGCAAAGGTCTCTGCTATTCCAAGTCATTACATTTGTATGTATTTATTAAGGACTGTAATTATAGCAGGATATTTTAATAGGACTCAAATGGATACACACATCTCAAGCCTCTGATTTCTGGCTCGTATATTTGGCCTCTAGGTTTTGTGTGTGTGTGTGTGTCCAATGTGTTTTAAAACGGACATTTAACATTTAACACAGGCCAGTATTTGGTTATTGATCTCTAGAGTAGGCCTAGTATTGCTTTGGCTTGGGTTAGTTCTTACTCTGATGAAAGTCTGAACTGGAATACTTGGTCTCTGTGGTGAACCATGAATTGGTACATAGTGCTTATATGAGCTGCTGAAGAAAAGGTTACTTGCTAATCTCCCTAAGCACACACAAGATCTCTCTCCCTCATGTTCTTGTAACTCAATAATGTCAGAGCCACTACAACTCATTAGTTCTATACTGAACAAAAATATAAACGCAACATGTAAAGTGTTGGTCCCATGTTTCATGAGCTGAAATAAAAGATCCCAGACATTAACATTTATCTCAAATGTTGTGCAGAAATGTGTTTACATCCCTGTTAGTGAGCATTTCTCTTTGCCAAGATAATCCATCCACCTGACAGGTGTGGCATATCAAGAAGCTGATTAAACAGCATGATCATTACACAGGTGCACCTTGTGGTGGGGACAATAAAAGGCCACTCTAAAATGTGCAGTTTTGTCACACAACACAATGCCACAGATGTCTCAAGTTTTGAGGGAGTGTGCAATTGACATGCTGACTACAGGAATGTCCACCAGAGCTGTTGCCATATAATTTAGTTAATTTCTCTACTATAAGCTGCCTCCAATGTCGTTTTCTGTCTGTAATAAAGCCCTTTTGTGGGGGAAAACATATTCTGATTGGCTGGGCCTGGCTCCCCAGTGGGTGGGCCTGGCTCAAGTGGGTGGGCCAGTGCCCACCCGTGGCTGCGCCCCTGCCCAGTCATGTGAAATCCATAGATTAGGACCTAATGAATTTATTTCAATTGACTGTTTTCCATATATGAACTGTAACTCAGTAAAATCTTTGAAATTGTTGCGTTTTTACATTTTTGTTCAGTACATATCGTCATCACATCCATGTTTTGTTTGTGTGTTTTCTTCAGGAATACATTTGTTAATGGCTAAAGATTACCTGATTTTCCAAAAATATTGACTTACAATCTAGATTTTTTACCAAGTCACAGAAGTTGGAAATTGCATGTAACTGCCAAAATAAACAAACACTTGGGTAAATGATGTTTCCTTTACTTTGGCAGTTACCTGTACCTCGGCACATTCTAAATAATCGTTTTAATTTTGATCCCTTTACTGAAACTTTACAGGATTCTAAATGACCAAATTATAATGCTATAGCTTCTGAAATAGTATACTTAAAACTTACAGAGAATCCTATACAGGTAATTGGAGTAATTACTAGCAATGGCTCTAGGTGTTTTAAGAGCCTTTTCAGATCTTTGCTTTGAAGACAAAGCAGATTCACAGTTCCTTTGAATTATAGTCTTGCGAAACACTTCCTTTGAACCTAAATTGTGTTTTATGCTAATACAAAAGCTCAACATGTAAACAACCTTGCTGTACTAGACCAAAAGAGTTAGAAAATGTACTTGAAGCTCAAATGATAAACTATTTGAAAGACTTTATAAAATGTTCATAAACCCTTTATAAGGCCTTCATAGTCTATGCTTCACAAATCATGTAAGCAAATGGCATGCTAAAGGTTGACAATGGGGTTATGCCACATTTTGTGCCTGATGTAAGGACCTGTTAAAAAGCTTTTGTATAGGATGAATTCATTAAAACGATGCGTATCTGTGTAGGCATAAAGGGTTTAAATAAGCCTTTAAAGTTATGTGTTTTAAAGAGGAATCAAGGCTTTTCATAATGCTGTATACCATTCTGTAAATGTTTTGATTTATTAATACAGCTATTTATGTCTGTCCTGTGCTTTCTCTGTCTGTTCTTTACAGTTCAAGTGTTGTGGAGGGCAGGAGTACAAAGACTGGGAAGTGAACATGTACCATAACTGTACAGCTCCTGGACCGCTGGCTTGTGGAGTGCCTTACACCTGCTGCCTCGAAAACAAGGTCTGTGCTGCTCTTCCATTGAGAGCTCATGATGCAAATAAATAGATCTTTATTTAAATACATTTGAAGGCAAATTCCCCCAAAAATGTTTTGCTGTCACAGTACCCAACCCAACACCCCACACACATGACAGGCTGGGAGCAGCACAGGGTCAGCTCAGCAGAACAGGGACTCTGGAGCAGTTGGGGTTTAAGTTTCTTGCTCTAGGGCAAAACGGCAGTAGGTAGCGTAGGGGATAATGATGCCAGCAACCCTCCGGCTGCAGTTCACTCCAGCCTGCTTTTACACGTTAGCCCTGTGATTCAAACCGACAACCTTCCTCTTATTGGTCCGACTCGCTAACCTCGAGGCTACTATTGTCTCCAAATGTCAGACTTTGTCTTTTTCTTAGTTTCTTTGTACTGAAAAAATCTCTGGTTGGGAAGATCACACAAGTTCCCATTTGTCTGACAAGAAACATGGAAATGTACAACCAATTCTGGTTATTTGCACTCATAACTGAACAGTTTAGCATTGTATTGTTTCAGCAGAGAATGGTTGATTACCCGGGGCGGCAGGTAGCTTAGTGGTTAAGAGCGTAGTGCCAGTAACCGAAAGGTCGCTGGTTCTAATCCCCGAGCCGACTAGGTGAAAAATCTGTCGACGTGCCCTTGAGCAAGGCACTTAACCCTAATTGCTCCTGTAAGTCGCTCTGGATAAGAGCGTCTGCTAAATGACTAAAATGTAAATGTAAATTAGAGACCACATCCATGACAACACTTTGTGTCCCCTAACAAATTTGCACACTTGTTGAAAACGAATTAGTACAGCTCTGTTTGTTTATCTCTAGATGCCTCCTATGCCATATTTGTTCCCCTCCGTGTTCTGATCTCTAAATATAACAGTAGGGTCGTTTTTGAATTGTGGTTGCATTTGGGCATTACAGGGAAAATGAACACAACATTTTCCCCCTTACATTCCAAGTCAATTAATATGACAACTGAATGACTTTAAATCGTTTTTGATAACATTGTGCCACCAGTAGGAGTAGTAACACCAATAACATAGGTAATTGAGGATTTTCGTAAATGGAAGCCACAGATCTAAGGTCGATAACCCTTTAAAAATCCAGCGATTAGTCATTTTGCTAACAATGTAATTTCCTTTCATATAAATTGAGTAACACCAATGACACTTTTTATATAGACACATGAAATGATCAATGGAATCCTCAAATTTAAAAGGTTGTGATTAACTCATAATTGTATTTTGTTATAGACCCCTCCACTGGTGGGAATGCTCAAGGTCCTTGTATAGTGCCTTCAGAAAGTATTTCACACTCCTTGACTTTTTCCACATTTTGTTGTTACAGCCTGAATTTTAACATGGATTACATTTAGATATCATGTCACTGGCCTACAAATAATACCCCATAATGTCAAAGTGTAATTATGTTTTTAGAAATGTTTACAAATTAATTAAAAATGAGTATTCAACCACTTTATGGCAAACCTAAATAAGTACAGGGACTCACTGTGTGCAATACAACCCGGTGCACATGGCACCTACTACCAAGGCACTTACTTCAAAGGCACTTAAATATTTTGTCTTGCCCATTCACCCTTTGAATGGCACACATACACAACACATTTCTCAATTGTCTCAAGACTTGAAAATCCTTCTTTAACCTGTCTCCTCCCCTTCATCTACACTGATTTTGAAGTGGATTTAACAAGTGACATCAAGAAGGGATCATAGCTTTCACCTGGATTCACCTGGTCCATCTATGTCATGGAAAGAGCAGGTGTTCTTAATGCTTTGTATACTCAGTGTTTTTTATTTTATTTTACAAATGTTAGAATGTTTTTACGTGTCACCCTTCACCACCACCTACACACACAAGCAATTTTTCTTCCACTTTGACATTTACATAGTATTTTGTGAAGGTCGTTGACAAAAAAAAAAAAGAGTCTACTTTTTTACCCCCCTTTTCTCCCCAATTTCATGATTACGATCTTGTCTCATCGCTGCAACTCCCCAACGGGCTCGGGAGAGGCGAAGGTCAAGGAATGCATCCTCCGAAACATGACCCGCCAAGCCACGCTTCTTAATACTTGTTTGCTTAACCCGGAAGCCAGCTGCACCAATGTGTCGGAGGAAACACTGTTCAACTGACGACCGAAGTCAGCCTGCAGGCATCTGGCCCGCCACAAGGAGTCGCTAGAGCGCGATAAGCCAAGTAAAACCCCCCCCCCCGACCAAACCCTCCCCTAACCCAGGCAATCGAACCCATTTTAATCCCACTTCGTAACACAACAAAATTTGAAAAACGTCAAGGGGTGTGAATACTTTCCAAAGGAACTATATCTTTGTAATGAGTGATTTTCAAGGCAGTAATACCAATTACATATATTTGTGTAAAAAAAAAAAAAAAAAAAGGTTTCAAAATTATATACATCGCTAAATCCCCAAACATGTCACTACACCTCAACTCATCACTACTGGGACAAGCCAATTTGCTTGCCCTTAGTACTTTATACAATGCATAAAAATAGGAGTTTTGCAGTATGTTTTATCATTGATAAACAGTTCATTATAAATATAAACATGTATGATGTGTAACTTTGTCATTTTGGTGTTTGTCATGGTTGCAAAGGTGAGGGACACAATTGCCAAGCATCAACCAGTACCAAATGTTCTGTGAGTGTGTAACAGCTTGCAATACTTATCATCCGACTTTCCCAGTGGAATGGAAAAGTTGTTGGCAGGTGCCAATTTGACAGATGGTGATGGATTTCGGCAGGAGGTCATCTTTTTTTATTTTTTTATGTCATCAACCATTGCCAGAAACATTGCACATGGGGAAAAAGGCTAATGGTGATATTCGTTAATCAATATCATGGAGCTATGATGTAGTTATGTATCATAGCTAAATGGGAACATTTATTGAAAAGGTGAATGTGGTGAACTCTGATCATCTACAAATCTGACAGTGAAACATTTTGCGTTATTAATTTGCTGAGAAAAAGTAACTGAATTTGTAAGTAAGTTGCACACAATCAATCGATCAGCATGACAGAGGCCGCATGCTTTGTGAGTTCTTTCTGTGGATGTGAGCCTTTACCATCCTCTCTCTCCTCTATCTCTCTCTGAGAGCACAGCTGGCCAGACAGGGTGTCACTCAGCAGAACTGGCAACCAGGTACAAAGATAACATCCTCCAAGGCATATAGGGATGGGGTCTTGTGCTGGCATGCCGCTGTAGGAGGATCTGGCTCTGAATCCTAATATGTTGTCCTGATTTTTAAATGGCAAGGTAAAAAATACTATTTATTAATCTGATTATGGGCATGCAAACCTTTTTGTCATATGTCATCTCAAAGATTTCAAGTTTTAACCTGATTGGTAGAAATAGCAATTGAAAATGAGAGAGGCATGCTCTCTTTCAAGCTCATGATTTTCAACATATAGTCGCTGGGATTTGAGATATAGCAGCAGATAACCTTTAGGGATCCCACCTGGCTGAATGTATTCGCTTATCTCCTAAACTCCAGATATTGACACCTCACAAGGCTTCATATAAATGTTTGTTCACAATTAAAATCCGGTCTCTGAATGGAATAAAAAGATGTCTGTCTTAGCTCTTTTTGTTTAAAACTATTTATGTCTATTGAAATTTCAAGTGCCTCTACTCAGCAACTTCCCTAAGGTTCCAGTTTTTCTTTATGCCTGTCAAAATGCACATCACATGTTCTCCCTTTTGGTAGCTGTCAATATTGAATAAAAAGTTTGAAAGACTTCTATTTTTGTTTTCTGAACATGCACTGTTGCTCTCTGTCAAAATACCCTGAATAATATATATATACCTTATCATTCAAGTGGAATTAATTCAACTAAAATAGAATGGACAACTTCTTACAGTATCATTTTGTCTATGAAAAGAGAGTTGGGTGTCTGTTTGGTTTAAAACTTGTAGAGCTTTTTACCATGTCAGTTTTGCACAAGGTGCTCCATCTCTGCTGTGAACCACCCAAGCTGAAGCAAGTAGATTTCCCTGGTGTGGGTAATTCAGGACTGTATTGATGTGTTGTGTGTTTTCCCTCACTTATCACGGTCTACTGTTTGCTCCTTAATAAATAATGGGGATCCTGGGGGGCAAAGCCGGGATTTTAGCAATGTTTGTCAACTTGTTCCAATATGCCTTTTCTTTCAAATATGAGGTAAGACTTGGAGCATTCTTTCACATTGCTTACTAATATTTTAATTGAAGTCTTAGCTAATATTTAACATATTTTTAAACATACTGAAGTATATTTATTGGTTGCTCTTTTGAGCATGATCTTAGGCTGGATATTAGCCTACATATCCATTCCCGAATGTTGGGACTGATTGTGATCTCTCTCTCTCTGAGCGATAACGTCTATGTGGCTATTAGCTGGACTTTCACTAGCCAAGGGCCAAACTTCTAAAATAGTTAAACTAGACCAGGGGTGCCCAACCTTTTTGACTTGAGATCTAATATTTCTACCACCAGTTTTAGAAGATACCAGTCACAGGGTTCCCAAGTTTATACATTTTATTAACTTTTCCACAACTTTTCATGCCTACAGAAATAAATGTACTTTCAAAACAAGCTATTTGATTTTCTATTTTAGAAAATCAGGTGGACATTGTAGAGAAGATTCCTCATTATCATTAATTATTTGAATAATCCTCATCAAGGGATGTATCTAACTTCAAATATGCTTGTGTAACCTGCTAGTAATGTGGTCAAATATGTTACATCACTTTTACTTAGTATTATGTTCCTCCTTTTCAGCCTAATGAAGTTGCCAACACACTATGTGGATATAAGGTCCTTGACAAAGAGGTAAGACACGCTGAACAAAATGGTGTCTCAATGTCTCTCACAGTCTAAATAGGAAATTGATGTTTGCTGATGTCATACAGAGGGACAGTGCAGACCAGTAACAAGTTTCTAATTCATATTTTATTTATCACATATGTATAAAAGATTATATCACACACATCAGTCATATGGATTTGCCTGCCATTTAAATGTATATCGTGTACATGTTGTCCCTCCTGCTTAGAGGCTGGCCTTGCAGAACGTCATCTACATCAGAGGTTGTACTGATGCTGTCTTCATCTGGTTCATGGATAACTATAAGATAATGTCTGGCTTGCTGCTTGGCATCTTATTCCCCCAGGTAAGAGTTAATCACCATGCCATTTTAGACTGACATCTGATGTCCACCAACAATACACAAGTAATGATTCACACAGAAATGTTGTGGGCACAGCACTTTGGTTAATGGCTGTAGCAGGAGGCAGGTACTGGTTTCCACATAATGGTTTAAAAACTCATTTTATGGGGGGTGGGGGCTGGAAATTATGCAGTTATATTGTGAGATCTTTCCTGTTTGATTCAGGAATTCACATAAAAATGTTTTGGTTGTATATCTTAGCTAGAGAGGATGATGCATCTTCCCAGTCACAGCTTGCAGTGGAAGCCCCTACAAATGTTTGCTTATCGCGTTATAAATTCTGCCTCTCAGAACGAATCATTAATTGGCACATTGGACACTTTCTATTGGTTTCCAATTCCATGTCCATCTTATCAAGCACAGAGGGATGTCACGATGTCGGTGTATGCGGTAGACTGAAGTCAGGCGCAGGACACAGAACTCAAGGGAAAAACTTAACTTTACTAAAGCTCGTAAAGAAACAAGAAGCCTCCACGCAGGGAGGAATAAATCCGCTCACCAATGACATACGAGTACAAGCAACAAACACGCACAGAACACAATGGGAGCCACAGGGTTAAATAGGGGCGGAGTAAGAACAAGATGGGCAACAGGTGTGAAACAATCTGACACAACAGGTAGAACATAGAAACATAGAACATAGATCGGCAGCAGCTAGTACTCCGGTGACGAGGAACGCCGAAACCTGCCCGAGCAAGGAGGGGCAGCCTCGGCAGAATCCGTGACAAGGGAAAACAGGACAAATGTGCAATATTGAATATACACCTTCAAATTCTGTGAGAGTAGTTTCTCAGATCTTATGAGCTTTTTGAGTTATTCTCGCTGTTGGCACAAATACATGTTTAATCGTCACCACAAAATGTCAACTGGAACTTTAATCCACTCTATCAATCTGCAGTAGAAAAATCAAAACCCATTTTTCAGGCATGTGTAATGTTTTTGTTAATTGCATTACTGCGTGCCGAGCCTGCTGCATAACTACTCTATCTTTAGAATGGTTTATGTTGCTTATATGCAACACAAACCTACAGATTCACAAGAGCACCATGAAAAGTCTAGGGCCATGTTCCCATGAATGGGGTCTCTGCAAACGCGGACACATTGCCCTTTTAAAAGGTGAATAGCCGACCAAAGAGCGATCGGCTTGAATCCTGGACATATGTAGAGCGTGCGGATCTACCGCTGATTGAATTGAATCTTGACCTAAAAATGTAAATGTCAATAGTAAACCCTACTACTGCATTTCCTCCCAATATCAAGCTCAGTAACTGGTTTTAATGAGTACCTATATCCATTCAGAATATGAGTGTGTTTGGCATGCTTGATGGGCCTCCCAGTTATAAATGCTTCTCCACTGCAAAGATTAGGCATTTGGTTTATGTGAAACGTCACCCCATTCGCAGTCATTCCCTAGCGAGACAGCACTTTGATTTATGTTGTTTACCTGGTTCTGCTATAGATGGGCAAAGACAGAGCAGTATTTCCCCAGTAGTGAGTCTAGATTAGAGCATTACTTACTCTATCCTTACAGCTGAGAACTAATCGAGGCCATTTTGGGGTGAGGGAAGTTGGGGGACATAAGCAAGAACCCTCTCAATAACTGACTTGGGCTGAACACATTGAGGAAATGTGTTGTGTTGTCCATGTAGGTTCACTGTTGAAGCCTCGCTGTTGAAGTGTGACCTTGATGAGTAAAGGAGCCTAAAGGGCTTCATTGTTTGTAACGTCCATGCTCCACTACCATAGCTGGGATGAATAAGGTACTATAAATTCAGATATTTTTTATTTCTTTTTCCTGCAGTTGGTGGTGTTCCATAACGGTCCCAAGAGCCTTGCTTCATTACATGCTCCATATAATTTCCTGTTAATTAGCTATGTTCAATTATAAACAATATAACCACTTGTATCTTGTAGAAAACAGGATATGAAGCGCTACAGTCATACACTTGTAGATCTTTAAAGAGGGAGATTGTTCTTTTAAGACTGAAAATTGTCTTTGAAATTTTGCAGACAGACTAGTCTACTGTGAAGGGCCAATGATGTCACATGTTAATTATGTGTCTAAATGCAATCTGTTCCTCTGAAAACAATGAATACAAATAACATACATTTGTTATCTAGCAAGATTTTGAAGACCCCTTTCAATAAAAAAATTGTATTCTAGGCTATTTTGAAAGTCACATCACACAATTACAACCAAGTCAATAGATTTTTCTCCCATTAGTTTGACAGACCCACAGACGAATCACCTACCCTTCAATTATTTTGCCCACCTCTTGACTACAGATTACATACCTTGCCAAATTAGATTTTATTTTTTTAAATTATATATTCTAGAAGGAGTACTTTCCTTTTTAATTCTCTTCTCTTTGCTTTTATTATTTTCTTTATTTATTCTATATACACTGTACAAAACATGAGGAACACCTTCCTAATATTGAGTTGCACCCCCTTTTGCCCTCAGAACAGCCTCAATTCGTCGGTGCATGGACTCTACAAGGTGTCGAAAGTGTTCCACAGGGATGTTGGCCCATGTTGACTCCAATGCTTCCTAAAGTTGTGTCAAGTTGGCTATATGTCCTTTGGTCGGTGGACCGTTCTTGATACACACGGGAAACTGTTGAGCATGAAAACCGAGCAGCTTTGCAGTTCTTGACACACTCAAACCGGTGCGCCTGGCACCTACTACCATACCCCATTCAAAAGCACTTAAATCTTTTGTCTTTCCCATTCACCCTCTGAATGGCACATATACACAATTCATGTCCCATTTGTCTCAAAGCTTAAAAATCCTTCTTTAACCTGTCTCTTCCCCTTCATCTACACTGATTTGAAGTGGATTTAACAGGTGACATCAATAAGGGATCATGGCTTTCACCTGGATTCACCTGGTCAGTCTGTCATGAAAAGAGCAGGTGTTCCTAATGTTTTGTACACTCAGTGTATGTGGTGCCCCATATTTAGAATAATATGTAGCATTGGAGGGAGCACAACTTGGAGGGTATTGACTTAGACATATTTCGTGCTTTTGTGTTTCACAGTATGTGGCTGTAAAGTAAGACAAAAGGATTGTCTTCTGACTGGCCATTTTAAATAATTTAGACCGTTGTCTACTCCCTCTCCATTGATTGGAAGGAGATGTGGCTGCCTGTGTCTGGGAATAAATGTTGATCTCTATCACCTGAAGCTACGTAAAGGAAAAAGTGAGTTGTAGAAAGGACATGGGTCATGAAGTTTCTCACTGAGATCCCATGGGTTATTGAGTTGAGGGTATTGATGCTCACATTTAGGGAAAAAAGTATTTGATCCCCTGCTGATTTTGTACGTTTGCCCACTGACAAATAAATGATCAGTCTATCATTTTAATGGTAGGTTTATTTGAACAGTGAGAGACAGAATAACAACAAAAAAATCCAGAAAAACGCATTAATGAGGGAAATAAGTATTTGACCCCCTCTCAATCAGAAAGATTTCTGGCTCCCAGGTGTCTTTTATACAGGTAACGAGCTGAGATTAGGAGCACACTCTTAAAGGGAGTGCTCCTAATCCCAGTTTGTTACCTGTATAAAAGACACCTGTCCACAGAAGCAATCAATCAATCAGATTCCAAACTCTCCACCATGGCCAAGACCAAAGAGCTCTCCAAGGATGTCAGGGACAAGATTGTAGACCTACACAAGGCTGGAATGGGCTACAAGACCATCGCCAAGCAGCTTAGTGAGAAGGTGACAACAGTTGGTGCGATTATTCGCAAATTGAAGAAACACAAAATAACTGTCAATCTCCCTCGGCCTGGGGCTCCATGCAAGATCTCACCTCGTGGAGTTGCAATGATCATGAGAACGGTGAGGAATCAGCCCAGAACTACACGGGAGGATCTTGTCAATGATCTCAAGGCAGCTGGGACCATAGTCACCAAGAAAACAATTGGTAACACACTACGCCGTGAAGGACTGAAATCCTGCAGCGCCCGCAAGGTCCCCCTGCTCAAGAAAGCACATATACAGGCCCGTCTGAAGTTTGCCAATGAACATCTGAATGATTCAGAGGAGAACTGGATGACAGTGTTGTGGTCAGATGATACCAAAATGGAGCTCTTTGGCATCAACTCAACTTTCCGTGTTTGGAGGAGGAGGAATGCTGCCTATGACCCCAAGAACACCATCCCCACCGTCAAACATGGAGGTGGAAACATTATGCTTTGGGGGTGTTTTTCTGCTAAGGGGACAGGACAACTTCACCGCATCAAAGGGACGATGGACGGGGCCATGTACCGTCAAATATTGGGTGAGAACCTCCTTCACTCAGCCAGGGCATTGAAAATGGGTCGTGGATGGGTATTCCAGCATGACAATGACCCAAAACACACGGCCAAGGCAACAAAGGAGTGGCTCAAGAAGAAGCACATTAAGGTCCTGGAGTGGCCTAGCCAGTCTCCAGACCTTAATCCCATCGAAAATCTGTGGAGGGAGCTGAAGGTTTGAGTTGCCAAACGTCAGCCTCGAAACCTTAATGACTTGGAGAAGATCTGCAAAGAAGAGTGGGACAAAATCCCTCCTGAGATGTGTGCAAACCTGGTGGCCAACTACAAGGAACGTCTGACCTCTGTGATTGCCAACAAGGGTTTTGCCACCAAGTACTAAGTCATGTTTTGCCGAGGGGTCAAATACTTATTTCCCTCATTAAAATGCAAATCAATTTATAACATTTTTGACATGCGTTTTTCTGGATTTTGTTGTTGTTATTCTCTCTCACTCTTCAAATAAACCTACCATTTAAAATTATAGACTGATCATGTCTTTGTCAGTGGGCAAACGTACAAAATCAGCAGGGGATCAAATACTTTTTTCCCTCACTGTATTTGTTGATAGGATTAATCATTGAATGTGTCCATGTAATCTAGTTATTTGAGGAATCCTCCCACATAACTTGTATACTTCCTGACTTTTAATTTGAAACAGGCCATCGAGAAAAGGTAGAAGTGGTCTTTGAGTCTTAGATTTGATTAGTCATCAGTTCAGTGCCTTTGGAGTAGACTGTTATGTCTGAGTTTCAGACCCCTCAGTCAATGAGTTATGGAACTAAAATGATATAGCTTCATAGTTGACTTGACTTGCTGGCTACAGCACTTGAATACTTTTAACATGCCATATACCCACAAGGATATTTTTTAAAGAAAGTAATTGTTTCATACATTCTTAACCAGAGCTTTTTACCTCAAGATGATGCAGATGTACTGTATGGATTATTTCATGCTTTTTGCACGTTGCTGCTTGATAAAAGTAAAATCAAATACTCTACAGTGTGATTTGCTACAGATTTTCTTTGGGCTGTTGGCAGTAAGAGCACATAGCTTGAGCTCTAGAATCCGCAAAAGCTATGGCTGCCTGTTCATAAATCATTGCAGCTCTTGTCTGTTTCAGGTTTGTGCTGTTGGTTGAAAAGGCATGCTTCAGCCAATTTTTTAAAAGGTTTTGGAAATGTGTTTTGTATCAAGGACAAAAAGTAATGATGTGACATTACTTATTGAACCCCCCCCCCCCCCCATAAAAAACAAGGCAGTGGTCAGTAATGGACTGCAGATACAAAGTGCCCCAATATATGCTTACAATACATTGAACTAGTGCTTGCTAAAGCAAGGCCATCTTCCCCAAGCCCATAGTTCAAGACCATATGTCCCATCCGTAACTCTGAATCTCCTTATGTTTGCAGTTCTTTGGCGTGATTATTAGCTGGCTCTACATCACGCGGGTGGAGGATGCCATTGCTGAGTATGGTCACTACCAGGATGGACTGCTGGACACAGTGGACAGTGGTGGCTTCAGGGCAACCAAGAAGCAGGGCAGAATGGCCAAATGTTTCATTTGCATGCCAGAGATCGACTGAGTGTGCCTCCTTTTTATTTAACCAGCCTAAAACACTGCTGTACCTGTGTGAGCTCAGAGAGAGAATTCAGCCATGCACTGCCTGCCTCATCCTTCCAACACACTGGAGCTATCAGCTCCAATTTTACAACGCTGTTCAGATGCCTTTTAATCGGTTTAATTCAGGGATCTTTTTTTTCAGGGGTTAAGGTATGAAGGTTTTAGTAGGATGGAAAGGTATACAGTATGTGCCTGTGCTGTGTGAAACATGTATTGCCTTTTATGAATAGCTTTTTTCCCTAATTGGTGAAATTATGTTTTTATTGATTCACAGCAAAAACATTGAATGCTTTTTAATTTTAATTTATGGAGATTGTAGCTCTAGCCAGCCCCTCGTAGGAACTTGATAGCAATATTTTAATCATCATTGTACCAGTCCTGTAAAGTGTATATTTTTAGCTTTTCAAAGGGATATATTTCCTATGGGGAATTTTATAGAGGGTATCTTGCCTAAATCCAATTGTTGATTTTCAGAATCATTGTAGATGTCATGGGTTCAACATATTAATTAACTTACAGTAAGTTTATAGTCAGTCACTCAATGTGGCTTAATTTGAGGAGTTAGGAATACCAAAGTTGTTAATGATGTATAACATGCACATGGTCTGTTGCCCACATTTTTATTAGGATTTTGTACTGTTAAATGGTTTGAAATCTACACGTATTACTTTGCTCAGACAGTGACATTTACCTCCAATATGTGAGTGTTGAGGGATCTGTTAGTGACCCTCTCTCAAGTTGTGTTCAAGATGGACGAGTTCTTACGCTCTCATGATCACTCATACTCTTCCCAGAACAGAATCATGTGCTTGGTCTTCCTGCCAATGATTGTGTATTCCTGTTAAAAGCATGAGATCGTACGGGATTGCACGCCTGGTTTTAACGGCTAACATACTTATTCAGACCAAAGTTCCATCAGCAGCCTGTGTCCATGGCAACGGACTAAATGAGATGGTTCTCCTGAGACAGAACGATGAATGACTTCCTATTTGAATCCATCCACACACTTGGGCTCCCGAGTGGCACAGCGGTCTAAGGCACTGCATCTCAGTGCTTGAGGCGTCACTACCGACCCCCTGGTTCGATTCCAGGCTGTATCACAACCGGCCATGATTGGGAGTCCCATAGGGCGGCGCACAATTGCCGCAGCGTCGTCCGGGTTTGGCCGGTGTAGGCCGTCATTGTAAATAAGAATTTGTTCTTAACTGATTTGCCTAGTTAAATAAAGGTAAAATAAAACACACAATAGAAAGTCAAACTTATCTTCAAACTCATTTTCGACTCAAAATACATCAAATTAATCAAAGTCAAAGCTACTAGTTATTTATTTGTGACCAACTTTTAAGGTGCTGTCTTTGAAAATCTTTTGTAATTTTTTTTTATAATGAAACTTTATTTGTACTTGTATGCTGTTCATTTAAAAAAAAGTGTGAGCTCACTGTAATACTTTTGAACATTATATTGTGAGTGATCTGGTGAATAAATAAATAATGTTTACAGTGATGTTGAGCAGCCTCTGTAGTGGCGTTTTTCGTTGCTCTTCCTGTCCTGCTGGTTTTTCTGTGCATGCAGAGGGTGTCCGGCTGTGAAGCTGTAAATATTTTACTCTTTCATGGAGCCTAGTCCACCCAAAATACCACATTTCTGTAATTGTTATTCTTCAGCATTTTCTACCTTTTCAAACAACTTTCTAATACAGAACCCATAATAGTCTACTAGCCAACAAACATATTTTTTCCATGATGCCTTCGGTTTTCCATAAGAGAAAATACTGACATTTTTCCCCAGAGATATATACCCTGTGGACTGAGCCGACATCATGTTAGCATTGTCCTTTTTATAGGTGTTGACATTCTTGCAGGGTCTTTCTCTCACTAAATCAAAGCACATTGCTTGTTTTGAATTTCCAGTGCCCTCACTCTCACTTGCCTTTCACTTTGCTTTAACCCTTCACTTACACTTAACATTGGGGGTAAAATGCTATGTACCTTTAGTGCTCCAATGGGGAAATAGTCATAAGTATAGATAAACAATTACATGACGCATGAAGGATGCCTACAATGTACTTTATCGCTTGTGATGAAACTATTCAGCACTTGACTCCTTAACAGGATCATTTCACTTGATATTTACAGTGCCTTCGGAAAGTATTCAGACATTTACATTTTAGTCATTTAGCAGACGCTCTTATCCAGAGCGACTTACAGTTAGTGAGTGCATACATTTTCATACTGTCACCCCGTGGGAAACGAACCCACAACCCTGGCGTTGCAAACGCCATGCTCTACCAACTGAGCTACACGGGACCCCTTGACTTTTTCCACTTTTTGTTACGTTACAGCCTTATTCTAAAGTGGATTAAATAAAACATTTTCCTCAGCAATCTACACACAATACCCCATAATGACAAAGCGAAAACAGTTTTTTTGAAATTTTAGCAAATGTATAAAAAAATGAAAAACATACCTTATTTACATAAGTATTCAGACCCTTTGCTATGAGATTCGAAATTGAGCTCTGGTGCATTCTGTTTCCATTGATCATCTTTGAGATGGTTCTACAAGTTGATTGGAGTCCACCTGTGGTAAATGCAATTGATTGGACATGATTTGGAAAGGCACACATCTGTCTATATAAGGTCCCACAGTTGACAGTGCATGTCAGAGCAAAAACCGCGCCATAAGGTCAAAGGAATTGTCCATAGAGCTCCGAGACAGGATTGTGTCAAGGCACAGATCTGGGGAAGGGTATAAAAAAAATTCTGCAGCTTTGAAGGTCCCCAAGAACACAGTGGCCTCCATCATTCTTAAATGGAAGAAGTTTGGAACCACCCAGGCTCTTCCTAGAGCTGGCCGCCCAGCCAAACTGAGCAATTGGGGGAGAAGGGCCTTGGTTAGGGAGTTGACCAAGAACCCGATGGTCACTCTGACAGAGCTCTAGAGTTCCTCTGTGGAGATGGGAGAAACTTCCAGAAGGACAACCATCTCTGCAGTACTCTACCAATCAGGCCTTTATGGTAGAGAGGCCAGACGGAAGCCACTCCTCAGTAAAAGGCACATGACAGCCCGCTTGGAGTTTGCCAAAAGGCACCTAAAGACTCTCAGACCATGAGAAACAAGATTATCTGGTCTGATTGAACTCTTTGGCCTTCATGCCAAGCGTCACGTCTGGAGGAAACCTGGCACCATTCCTATGGTGAAGCATGGTGGTGGCAGCATCGTGCTGTGGGATTTTTTTCAGCAGCAGGGACTGGGAGACTAGTCAGGATCGAGGCAAAGATGAACAGAGCAAAGTACAGAGAGATCCTTAATGAAAACCTGCTCCAGAGCGCTCAGGACCTCAGACTGGGGCAAAGGTTCACCTTCCAACAGGACAACGACCCTAAGCACACAGCCAAGACAACGCAGGAGTGGCTTCGGGACAAGTCTCTGAATGTTCTTGAGTGTCCCAACCAGAGCCCGGACTTGACCCCGATCGAACATCTCTGGAGAGACCTGAAAATAGCTGTGCAGCAATGCTCCCCATTCAGCCTGACATAGCTTGAGAGGATCTGCAGAGAAGAATGGGAGAAACTCCCCAAATACAGGTGTGCCAAGCTTGTAGCATCATACCCAAGAAGACTTGATTTCAAAGGTGTTTCAACAAAGTACTGCGTAAAGGGTCTGAATACTTATGTAAATGTGATATTTCTGTTTTTTATTTGTAATACATTTGCACAAATGTCTAAAAACCTAATTTTGCTTTGTCATTATGGGGTATTGTGTATAGATTGATGAGGGGGGAAAAACAATGTAATACATTTTAGAATAAGGCTGTAACATAATAAAATGTGGAAAAAGTCAAGGGTTCTGAATACTTTCCGAAGGCACTGAATGTTACGTAATGTACGAAAAGGGATTTGATACGCTTATGCTAACCTTAACTGAAATGCAATCTTTGTACAAATGTGTGATATCCTTTCATTATTTGGCCCTGCCAGCAACACTGCAAATTTAAGAGCAAAACATGAAACATTTCTCATATACAAAAACAACTTCCTCAGCTTTTGGATTTTGTACAACGGGCATCTGAGGAGATTCTATTCTTATGAGGTAAGTTTTAGCCACTGAAAATGGCCTGCAGCTAAAACCTATCCAGAGGAAGAATTGGGCCCTTCAGCTATCCTTGTGCTGTCACATTTAAGAGATACTCCTTGGGAATTGGATGCTCATTTCAGAAATAGTGCTCTGTGCCCCCAGGATAGAACCAACCTCAGCTGTGGTAGAACAAACAATATTTTTGTTGTTTACACCCCAATCGAGGAGGTGTCCTGTAAGGATGATACACTCACTCATACATATACAGCCTTTGTGTCATCCAGATTACTAATAGAGACCCACTAGGCAAAAACTGGTTGAATCAACATCTCCATGTTATTTTAACAACAACAACAAAAATTTGATGATGTTGATTCAATGTGGAAAACTGATTGGATTTGAAAAAAGTCATCAACGTAAGGGAACAAAATGTTTCACCTAAATCTAATGACATGGTGAATTTTTTGTTGATTTCACTTTTAATCCAGGTTAGTTGACAACTCAAATGTAAATCAAAACTAGACGTTGAACTGACGTCTGTGCCCAGTGGAGAGTTAAGTGGTTCTTATAGAATGGGCGCCTCTTGTCCCCCCCCCACAAGCTAACGCAACCAACACAATCTCCCCCCATTAGTAAGTAGTGGAGTGGCCTATATATTTCAGCCAACACTCATCCGCTCTGCTTCCCTGGTCCTATTCATCATAACTGTCAGGAGGATCCTTATCCCCACCACCACTGATGGGCGTTCAGAGGACATAAAGCATTTAAAATTATGTCTAACATATTTAAATCAGTATTCAGTGTGTGTCATACTACTGTAAATACCCAGTCAAGTCTTGAAAAATAACGTAAATTATATATATAAATGAATATATAAATGAATAAGTGATATTTCCTATCTCAGGAGTGGACCATTTTTCATGATAACACTATGGTGCTTCTGGTGTTGCAGCTGCCAGTGTTTTTCCCTCAGTTTGGGTGGAGTCATCGCATTTGTCATGTTTGTCTGATGGTGTACGTGTTCTAAAAGAGGTATCTTCTTCTAATCTGTGGCGGTGTTGATATGGCTACTGTAAAGCATCAAAGGATGCATTAGTTGGCCTATGTATAGATGTAAAACTGATGGATTTACTCACTCATACACTCAAGCAACTTAACAATTAATTTCCATAGAGCAGTTAATTTACATCCAAGGACATTAAGCACATAATCTGGTTGCAAAGAGATCCTTTTCAGCGTTCTTCGGTTGCTTCAGTTTGTATGTGTTTGTCTTAGGCCCAAAATAGTACAATGCTACCAAATGTGATTGTTGTAGAAGCTACATATGATATTAGGACAAAGTGCACATTGGATCTGCCATTTCAAATTTCAAATCTGCCATTTCAAATTGATTGTTTATCTGTCTGCACTCCATGTACAGTGTTCTACCTGGTTGCTTGTCACCCAGTCTTGCGGGGTGGGTCCATGCTTCTGGAAAGGTTACCAACCCGTGTCCTACACTGCTCAAAAAAATAAAGGGAACACTAAAATAACACATCCTAGATCTGAATGAATGAAATAATCTTATTAAATACTTTTTTCTTTACATAGTTGAATGTGCTGACAACAAAATCACACAAAAATGATCAATGGAAATCAAATGTATCAACCCATGGAGGTCTGGATTTGGAGTCACCCTCAAAATTAAAGTGGAAAACCACACTACAGGCTGATCCAACTTTGATGTAATGTCCTTAAAACAAGTCGAAATGAGGCTCAGTAGTGTGTGTGGCCTCCACGTGCCTGTATGACCTCCCTACAACGCCTGGGCATGCTCCTGATGAGGTGGCGGACGGTCTCCTGAGGGATCTCCTCCCAGACCTGGACTAAAGCATCCGCCAACTCCTGGACAGTCTGTGGTGCAACGTGGCGTTGGTGGATGGAGCGAGACATGATGTCCCAGATGTGCTCAATTGGATTCAGGTCTGGGGAAC